TTCAATGTTCATGTACTTTTGTGCATGCTTCATGAGTGTTGTTAGGTTGGGAGGAGGATTCTTCTATAGTGAGAAGTTGAATGTAAAGGAGTGTAGGCCGCTCAAGATAGCTATCACCGCTACAAACTAGTCCAGGGCTTGAACTTGTAGGGCCTCGGCGTTAAATCTCACCAAGTACTCTCTTAAGGTTTCTCCCTTCCTTTGTCGCAATTGCATGAGGCTGGCCGAAGTCTTTCAATGTCTCTAGCTGGTTGTGAACTATGCCAAGAATTGGGTGTCCAGTTGTTCTCAAGAAGATATGGACCGTGGAAGGCCTTGCACATCAGTCTTTTAGAAGAGTCGTGTAGTATCATCATGTCCTTGAACCCTTCAACATGGTCATTGGGGTCTGAAGTTCCATCGTACTTCTCGAACTGCAGAGGTCGCCAAGCAGCTGGCGGGAGTTCGTCCACAATCTCTTGAACGAAGATTGGTTCCTTCACGAGCTGGCTGTGGTGTCCTATGGGCTGAGCCATTGGATGAGCCACGCTTCTATCCACTTGGCTACGTTCCAGTTCGGCTAGGCGTTTCTCAGTTCCCTGATCTCAGCATCTCTACCAGTTGGGGCTACACCTATGGACTTTTCTCTCTTTGGCATTGCAGGACAACCTTGGACTGAACTGGATTCGGCTACCAAAATTGGTGATTGTGGCAGATGCTGGCCGAGCTGTTCTTTTTCCAGTATCCGGGTGGAACGGTGTGACTTGTTGTAAACATCATGCTTACAGGACCGGACTAGCGAGTCTGGTCTTCTGGATGACTGTTGCCTTTCTTGGTTAAACCTGACCCTCTACTTGTTTGGGTGGTGCTTTTTGGGGTCCTTAGTGTGAGGATCAATTGTGGTAAGCACCTTCGCGACAAGGTAGACATTCTCGGGGGCTTGGGCTAGTTGTTTGAGTGTCTCCATCATTGCAAGAATTCGGTCGACCTTCTGTTGCATCGCCTGGAACTATCCAAGATCGACCATGATTTGTTGTTGGGGCTCCCGAGGTGGAGAGCTGCGGTGGGAGTGGGATCCCCGAGATGGGGATCAGGCTCTAGAGCGGTCAGATATGTTTCTTGGCATGGTTGTCTTGAGTGTGTGAAAAGGGGTTATTGGGAAATGGCTTCTTGTGCATTCCCACAAACGACGCCAATTTGATGCTGCCCGATCTGAGGTGTCCCGAATCAAGATCGTAGTCAGATAATCTTGCCAAGTAGGTGAGACCAAGGTGGAAGGATTAAGCCACACACTGGAATCTATAGTCAAGAATGAAGGTCAGAGGCCTAAGGAGTTGTTCCCCAAGTAGGCACTCTGATGCTCAAGTCAGTTGAATGGAAGTATATGAGGCCGAGCCGAGTAGATAAGAATACTGCTAGTCTGAGAAGAAGTAAAGTGGAAGTCTAAAGATCCAAAAAGTCCCCTACCCTGAGCGGAGATTACCTATTTATAACTAGTCTTATTTAGATGAGGCTTTCGGGGTTGTCGGTATGAGGTTGCCCGCTGAGGTCTTTGGGATGACTCCTCTTCCTCAACGGGGTTACCCTCCTTGTTCGTGTGGGACTCTCCTTCTTGGTCGTGCTTATCTATTCCACGTGATGCCGATGTGGTTGGAATGATAGGATGGCCGTAAAGGTTACCACGTTGCCATGGCTAGCTCAACCATAACCCAAACACTTTTCACTCTTGCCTAGAGGAGCAACAACTGCCTCATCTGCTACACCTCCATTGCTTTCATCAGTCTATAGGGGTGGATTCAAGCTAAGTCGAGCTGAATAGTATAAGGCTCGAGCTTGGCTCGCCAAGGTAGTACTAGGCTCGAGCACATAGAGCCACCCGGGATGTACGATGGGCGTGGAATGCCTTCTAGGATCTGTGATGAGCATAAAGGGCCATCCAATACCTACGATGAGCATAAAACATCTCTTAAGACCTGCGATGAGTAATGAACATCGCTTGAGACTTGCAATGGATATAAAATGACATCACTAATCTAAGACAAACCCAATACACTACTAGCACCTTGTGATGGACATGAAATGATATCCCATGTTGTAACAAACGGTGGATAGATCTCAAGGCTGGTGACACCCACTAGCCTTGGGGCCATAGGGAATCGAGCAAACACCCGAGCATGCTAGTTAGATCCAAATCTTGTCCTTAACATGTGGCCATAGGGAAACCCATAAGGGGATATAACCTACACATACCACGTGAAAATCCTCAAGAGAAAGGAAATTTTATCTTTGAAGGATCTCGTTGAACACGTGGCCCTGAATAGCCAACATAAAGATAAAGATCCCTTTCCTAATAGGAAATTTCTTCTTTTATATCCTTCTCCTTACAAGCTTTGGGGTCCTATTTATAAAAAGGGAAACAACTCTCCCCCATGTCAAACAACCATATAACCCTAACCATAGGGTTCCTTAGAGGCTCTCTCTCTCTCTCGCCCTTCTTTTCTCCTCTCCCTACAACCATCCCACTCTCCCTTTCTCCCTCTTCACTGCCATTCTCTTGGACCTTTGGAGCCGAACTAGGCCATGGTGATCATGGAGTCCATGGTACTTACATCTGAAACTTCTTGCATTTTTTTGTTCTAAGATCTGTTTTGGGACGTGTTTAATGGTGAAATCCCACCATCCAGACACCGACAAACGAAGGTTAGTTTGCCTAAACGAAGACCCTCCATGTTTGATGTTGTGTTTTTCACCTTTTTGAGTGAATATTTAGCTGAAATCGGTTTTGTTTTAAATTTTCATAGATGAATCTGAAATATTTATGTTAGGTTTTTTGTGCATTGTCTTGTGATGATTCCTATAGATAAGTAGGATTTTTTTTTTGTTGACGATCAAGTAGAAAATATGCTGAAATATGTGGTTGCATAATTTTTTCTTGATTTTTTGTATGCATAATTAGTTAAGTGTTTGCATTTTTCTTGATTTTTTATATGAATATTTGTGATGTTTTTTATATTTTGTTGTGATTAATAATTAGTTAAATGTTTGTTAAATCCTCATTGCATAATGGTGATGCTTTATTATTATTATTATTATTATTATTATTATTATTATTATTATTATTATTCATTACTTTTTAAATATTTGGGTCCATGTCACACTCAATGTGTGGGCCAACATGGGCTCTCAGGTGTCATGAGGTGGTGATGTAGCTAGTTTCATTGAAATGTATAATATAATATGTGAAAAGCATTGTTTATATGTATGGGTGAAATGAGGGCTAAAATTGTCATTTATGCTAAAATAAGCACTTGTGGGGAAAGTAACTCACCATCCCCACCTCAATAAGTGCTTAAAAAACACAATAAGTAATTTGGCAACAAGTGCTTATTTTACAACCACTTAATCACCAAATATAGCCTTAATTGGATGATACAATATATTTTCATAACTATAAAATGAAAGAAAAAAATAGTTTTGCCCCACTTCCCTAGTTTTACATACCGTTTCACATGAATATAATTAAAAAAAATAGCAATTTTCTTATTAAGAAATTAAACTTCCTGCCACAACATGGGAAATCATCATATTAGGAAGATAATAATATTTCAAATATATTAATTTCAATACTCAAAATTAATACTATATAATAAGTATTTAATAAAGTAATCTCCTATAAAATTAGCAACTAAGAAGATAATAATTTTTTATGATAAAATTAAAGATAGAAAGTAAAAGAAAAAAAAGAATAAGCATGGAGCTGATGTTTTATTTAATGTAAGAAAGAGAAAATAGAAAAAAGGAAGATATCTCCTCATATCGAAATTCTTATTGAATTTGGTTCTTGTTCTAGGGCAAATCTATATTGTATGCCTCAAAATTGGGCATACAATATGCCCCTCATAAGAGGATTTATTGATTTTAGTGATAATAAAGAAGGAAATAAGTTGGGGAAAGAAGAGTAAATGGCATTAGGGGTGTCCACGGTTCGGTTAACTGAACCATGGCCCTTTTTTGTAAATCAAACCGGTGGTATCAGTTTTTTCATTTCACCAAACCGAAACCGAACGGGTACCACTGGTTAACCGGTCCACCGGTTTCGGTTTTTGACCGGTTTGATTTGTTGGTTTTTTATATTTATAATATATATTATATAAATATATGTATAATATAATATTATAAATAATAAATGATATATAATATATAATAAATATTTTAAAAATATATAATATTTTTAAATAGATCATTATAAATACAATATAAGTATATATTTATATAAAATGCATAGAAAATATGTGACATATATTGAAAATATATATAAAATATACATATAAATATATGTATTTTTAATCGTTAGTTTTTTTATAGATTAATCGAAAATTGAACCGATCCTTCCGTTTTTCAAAAATTTCAAACCGAAACTAAACCAATCAGTTCGATTAATCGCATTTTGCGATTTGATTTTTTCGATTAGGTTTGGTATTTTGGTTTTTCATGGATTGATTAATGGCTCCATGAAAAATCAGACTTACCGTAGTTGTTTTTGTGATTTTGTGAAGTAGCTTGTTTTCTAGTTCCGCAAGGGCTGAAAGGTGACATCGGTGGAGTCTATGAGATACGATAAATGTAGGACGATGTAAAACTAAGGAAGGTTTTTGAAATTTTTATGAATTAGGTCTTGTTTTGAAAATTTGAAAAATAGTAAAAGATAAATTTGACATTTTATTCTTTTTTTTTAAGTAGAGTTATTCAATTAGCTAAACGGGTATTTTAAGAAATTTACCTATTTTTAAACATCTATAATTTTATTATCTATTTATGAATTATGATGTCACGGGTCGAACCATCGACCCGGACGGTTGAACCGGTGACTCGAAAACCGGAGGCAATGACTCGTCTCGCTTTCAAGTCGGCAAGCAAGAAGCCGTTTCCCTTCTTTTTCGTCTTTCTCCTTCCTTGCCTCCTCTCCACACTCAAACGACTTGCCTTCCCACACAATGCCAGAAGGTGAGGACTTTTCGTACATCTCTCTCTCTATGTATTTTCTGAAGTTGTTTCAAATTGCAATTGATGTTTTTCTCTCTCTCCCTCTGTTTTGGGTTTTCTGGGATAAATCTTGTTTATGAATGGTATGTTATGCTTGTGGGTTATTTAATTCGTTGATTTTGCTTGAACCCTAACTGCATTTTTTACTTCTATTGGTTCTAGGGCTGAAGAATTTGATGGGTTGGTGAGAAGTCTAGGGATTTTCATTGGAATCAGAGGTTACTAGCGTGTTTGTAAGTATAGCTTTAATTTATTTTGTTGGACGGGAAATTAATTTTCATTGTAGTTTCGGTATCAGGAAACTTGAGCAAAATATTGAGGATTAAGGTCTTCAGAATTAATAAAGAGAGGAGATTTGAAGGACAGGAAGGGAGTGCCGAGGTTTCTATTTCTAAGGTTTATTCGGTCTTTGTCTCTTATTTTTGTTTTGGGGGAGGGGTGGTTTATCACTTAGAATCATGTCTGTCACTGCTGGTGTTAGCGATACCGTGATTGCTATTAGGGATAAACTTAGAGGTAAGATTGGGCAAACCAAGGTGAAAAGGTATTGGCCTGGAAAAGCACCAGAATGGGCAGATGATGCAGACGAAGATGCAGATATCAGGACGACTAGGGCAGTTGCCTTGGAGCAAGCTTTCCCTAGCCAGGACGATGATTCTGGAATTGTCAAAAAAGATGACCCCAGGCTGCGTCGTTTGGCTGAGAGTAGGATTGATAATCGTGAAGAAATTAGAGCTGATCATCGTCGCATTCGGCAAGCTGAGATTGTTTCCACTATTGAAGAGGAAAGCAAGAGGCAAGAAGGTGCAGATGTAGAAGAGGAGGATGAAGATGCTTTAGAGGAAAGGAGAAGAAGAATTAGGGAGAAATTGCTTCAGAAGCAGCACGAGGAAGCTGCACTACTTCCGGAGGAAGAGGAGGAGGAAGCAGAGGAAGAAGAAGAGGAGTCTGAGTATGAAACTGATTCAGAGGAGGAATTAATGGGTATGGCTATGGTGAAGCCTGTCTTTGTTCCTAAGTCAGAACGGGACACCATAGCTGAGCGCGAGCGACTTGAAGCAGAAGAAAGAGCTCTTGAAGAGTCGATGAAAAGGAAGTTGGAAGAAAGAAAGGTTGAGACCAAGCAGATTGTGGTTGAAGAGATAAGGAAGGATGAAGAAATACAAAAGAACTTGGAAGTGGAGGCAAACATTGCAGACGTGGATACTGATGATGAGGTTAATGAGGCAGAAGAGTACGAAGCTTGGAAGGCCAGAGAAATTGCAAGAATTAAGAGGGATAGGGAAGACCGGGAGGCAATGTTGAAGGAGAAGGAGGAGATAGAGAAGGTTAGAAACATGACAGAGGAGGAGCGGAGAGAATGGGAGAGGAAAAATCCTAAACCACTCCCTGTACCCAAGCAGAAATGGAGATTTATGCAGAAATATTACCACAAAGGTGCTTTCTTCCAGTCTGATGCAGATGATCGTGCGGACACTATCTACTCTCGTGATTTCTCTGCTCCTACTGGGGAGGATAAGATGGACAAGACAATACTGCCCAAAGTCATGCAGGTTAAGCACTTTGGGCGTAGTGGGAGGACTAAATGGACCCATCTTGTCAATGAGGATACAACTGATTGGAACAATCCGTATGTCTACTTTCATCTCTGCTTCTCAGTTCAAATTTCCTTTTATTAATAACTATTTTACTTTTGTGCTCTTATTATTTTCAGAAATTCTGTAGAAGAAATAGATATGTACCACTGTAGTTCTTTTTTGCCTGATAATCTGTAACTATTCTTTTATGGGGCTCCCAGTTACTTTTCTTCCTTATTATTTCTTGGGATCCCAGCAGCTCTGGCTATCATCCTCTGAAATTTTGCGGATGCATTCTTGGAGAAGAGAAGAGATGATTTCTGATAGTTGGGTTTCAATCCCGAGGCTGATGAAAACTTTGCAATAATGTCTTTTAATTGGTGACAGGCTTCAAGATTTGCTTTTGCAAATATGATGCAGTCATCAGAAAATTGCAGTACAGATATCTTAAGCCCCCCTCTAGATGTTTTGAAATCCAATAGATGCTTACTATTCATAGCAATTTTTTCTATATTTCTGGTCAGGGCTTCACTACAAATAACAAACAGGTGCGGGGATAGGGAGTCACCCTGCCGTATACCTACCTCTATTAGGAGTGAAGCTATTAGTAGGAGATCCATTGACCAAGACCTGAAAACTAGCAGTAGTCACACATTCCATAATCCATCCTACCCATTTATTATGGAATCCGAATTTTTGGAGAGTTGCTCTTATATATTCCCATTCTAACATGTCATTTGCTTTTTCCATGTGAATCTTAGAGGCGGCTATCCCTAACTTACCTTTTTTCCTTTTTCAGAGAAAGGAAAATTTCATGCGTGATTAATATATTATCTGAGATTTGTCTCCCTGGGATGAAGGCTGATTGATTTTGGAAAATTAATTTCCCTAGAAGGGGTTGCAATCTATTTACTAGAGTTTTAGCAATGAGTTTATTTCTTTTTGGAATGGCCTAAAATGGTCTGGGATTTCTGGCCCATTTCTTTTTGGAATTAGGGCTAGGAAAGTCTTGTTTAAATTTTTTGTCATTTTTCTGGAGTGAGCAGTATCTCATCACAACGGTAGCATCTTTCCCTGTGGCTTTATTTTTCCACTCTAGTTCTATTTAGCACTGGGGGCTCTGTTCATTTCAAATCAGTTTTACCTTCTGGGGGCTCTTTAATTCCCAAGGCCTTAGAAATCTGGATCATCCTTTTTTTCCTTTTATTCCCATTAAGAGATCCTATAAGGTGAATCTCATTCCAGGTTCAGTACTGATTAATAAGAATAACACTATATGCAAATCTAGAATCTCAACTAGCTGCAGGATTGGAAGCTACTTAGATTGAAGCTTAAAAAATTAGATAACTACTGGTAATGTAAATAAATTAATCAAGTCTTTAGTTAGCAACAAAAATTAGATAACTGCAGTAGGAAAATAGAAATACACTACAAGAAATCTATAGGGCTACAGGTAGTAAGACGAGGGAGTTAGCAACAAAAACTACAGACATTATAATGAGAAACTACTTAGTTCAAGCAGAAGTTCTATTGCAGATGGGTAACGAAGAGAAGTAAGAGAAGTGATGAGACACTTCCTGGTAGTGCTTGTTATCCAGTCTGGTATGAGCGCCAAGAAGATGTAGTGCATACCAACTATCCCCATGCCATTGCCATGCATCTTTGTTGATCCTCTTCTTATTTTTACATGAATTTTGTCATGCTACTTGAATATATGTTAAACACTGCAATTTTTCGTTCTAGCAGCTACTATTTTTATGAAGTGTAACTCCCCTGTAGACGTTTATATCCTGATGTTGGTATTGTTTTTTTGATGCAGATGGACATATAATGATCCTCTGAGGGCAAAGTACAATGCTAAGATGGCTGGAATGAATGCGCCAATCGCCAAACCCAAAGGAAGCAAGAAGCTGAAGGATTGGGAGGGCCATTGAGAATGACTGGCTAGATCAATCCCTAGCACAAATTCCATTCAGCTATCATGGGGCTGTTGTTGAAGCTTTCAACTACATAAAGCTCCAACTGAGGGATCATATTTTATAAATTGATTATCCCTTTTTGACTCGTATATCTGCACATACCATTGTAATTCAAAGTTTCTGTCAGAATATCTTTGGGCTTAGCGCTAGTCTCATCTTTTACATGTGATTTTCCTGAACCTTCAAAATGGCCATTAAGGTTGGAGTTGATCTCGAGAATCAGCAAACTGGTATTGAATGGATTTGAAGCGAGAAGCAGCAATTTTTGATATGTGGGCAAAGGCAAAGCACAGGTCGGACAGCACTCGACTATCACTGCTCCTGCTATCCATTGTTAAAAAGTACGGTGAGAACTGGCATTTATGCTTCGGTTTGGCCATAGCTGGACATCGAGTCAGAGTAATCAATCTTCTCAGCTAAGGATGTAGACTGAGCGTGGCACAGGTGGAATGGCACGATGCCGCTGAGGACCTATAGTGGTGATTGCTGCCAAAATTCTGGAAGTATTAAAATGTTTTTTCACTTAAATGACCTTTCATTGCAGAAAACTTGAGCAAACTATGACCAACTTGTGTAACATGATTTGAACCTTCACCACTTGTATAAGTAAAATTATGACCAACTTATTTGTCAAGAGAGAGTTAGTTTATTTTTTAAGTCTATAAATATAAGATTAATAGTTTTGGGTGGATTGAATTGGATTAGAGCGGGTTTGGTTGAATCTAATTCATTTAAATATAATTGGGTCATTAATGGGTTGGGAACCAAATCCAATCCACCCCGCCCAATTACCACCACTAAGGGCAAATCCCAATTGCCACCACTGAGGGTCGTTAATTTTTCGTTACACTTCATACACATGTGACATTGCGTCATGGATATATTATTTTTAAAATTCTTAAAATAGCCTTTTATGTGTATAACATAACAATGTGAGGTCTTTGTAAATCCCGATGAGAGAAAATCGTCAGTTCCCAACAGGACTCTGAATACATTAACGTCATTTTTGCTAGAACTCGTTACATTGTCGAAGTGGCTCTCTGTAGAGAATTTACCATAGCTCGACTAACAAATTATTACCTGACTTTGCACGTCCTACCGTGGAGAAGTGGGTATATGTAGGAGAAGTGGTTCGGTTCTTACAAGTGTACGACTAATGCAACTAATGCAGTTTCAGCTAAGAAGGTATCAAAGATGGGAGACATTATGGCCAAAAAATGGATAGGGTTTGCTATTATTGTGGAGGCCATATTACGAAGAAAGCTGTTGGGTATTTTGAACATTGAAGGCCTTTCTCTTAGATAAAGGAAGCACCCCTCCGATCTTTAATTAGTTGGGTTTTATTTTGAAAAACTAAGAAATAGTGGAGGGTAAATTTAATATTTTATTATTTTCATTAGTTTTTAATGACGATATCAATTGTTAAAGGATTTAAGGGTAGTGTAAGACAAGACAATATGTAAACAATAAAGGTAGACTTACATTTGATGAAACGTGATTGGTAGATTATTGAATGTCGTCACTCATTGGTTTTTGATGAGGGCAGATTTGGCCCTCCAGTGAAGTTGCAACACGTGGCACCTCGTGACAACTAGGCAAGCCCCAGGCAACAATTTACCAAGTTGGTCCCCCCCGGGCACCGGTCTGGCTGGCCTGGCGCAGCCTGCGTGCGACCTGGGACGGCCTGCGCGTGGCCTGCGCGCG